GGCAGGTTTGGTTCTTGAGTTTAAGGAGCTGACAGTCAGGTGGAGAAAACAAATACTTATATATTGTAAAAATATGGTAAGTGCTTTTAAAAAAGAAACAGGGTGTTATTCTAAAGGAGTTGTTCCACTTTTGATAGGGTGGCTAGGGAAGGATTCTGAGAAGGTAAAATTGAAAAGATTACTCTGGATGTAGGTTCTGGAGGGGGCCAACCACACTAGGAGGCCACCGTAGGGTGTGGGAAGAGATAGTGGCAGCAGAGGTGGGAGGAGTTCCTGAGCAGCCACCAACACTGTTGAATTCTTACCCAAGGGCCTGTGACCCTTATAGGTGGTGGGTACTGTGACCTGGAGCAGGAACAACAACATTTTCTATTATTTGATTTTCCTTCAGTCTCTCTGGGGATGAAGAGGATGAACTTTTTAAAGGGGCAACTCTGAAAGCTCTGAGGCCCAAAGCACAGCCTGAGGAGGAGGATGAAGATGAGGTGGTAAGGAAATCCCAGGCACTGCCAAGTCCTCACACAGCCTCCTGGGGGCTCTTCCCCACGGGCTCTGAGAAGAGAAATGGAGTCTGTTGGTGGCCCCCTCCCTGGACTCTGTGTGCAGGGCCCTGTGGGAGCAGGCTTAGGGCTGGGCTGGGAGGGTGCAGCTCTGTAAGCAGAGTGGGGACGGTCACATACTGCTTTACTTTTGAGAAAGAATCATAGTCTCTGTCCATGCAGGAATTATTCCCCTGAGAGGAGGAAAGTTGGGCTGCCTGGTCCCACATTGGAATGCTGAAGCCTTAGGCTTCCTCAAATCTGCTAGGATATTGTTTATATTTTAGAATGGGATAGGACTTTGAAGATCATCTTGCCTGGCATCCTTATTCATAGATAACCTGAGGCTCAAAAGGATGATTTACCCGAAGCCACAGAGTGAGTTAGTGGCAAAGCTAGGACTAACCCCCAGGCTCCTATAAAGACCACCTGCTCCTGAGCATTTTCCACTTATTCAGCCTGCTTTCCTGCTGCCTTGTTTTGTCATCACAATATCCCTGGGGAAAAAATGGGTTTGGTACTAATAGCATAGCTTCATTAAACAGAGAACAAGAGTGAAGGCCAGGAAAGGAGGGTGTCCACAGGGACTGAAATAGAACCCTGGTTCTCACCTGCTGTTCCCCATTGTGCTAGGTTACAACCGTTCTAGCTGTCACTAGGCCATTTTGACTGCTCTGAAATGCAGCAGAAAGCTGTGATGGATCTGCGATCCAGCTCATATGTACCAGAGCCCTTCCCTCTTGCCTGTGTTTTTTTGAGGGAATGTACCAGTTCCTTCCATTAGCCTTTCTTCCCAAGAATTAAATTTCCATTTGAGAATCCAGAATACCAATCCTGCCCTAAAAAAAGGAAAAAATGGGGGAAAATACCAATTGAGTATATTCTAAGTGACTGCCCTAAATGTTGTTGGAAGTTTTTAATTAGTGAGTATATTCTTGGTATTAGTACTAATACCATCAAGTTAACATGTATTTCTTGGGTACTCTGACAATGACTTCACAGACGGTCTCATTTTATCTTCTACTAATCCAATAAGGTAGATACTTTATCCCACTTTATAGATCAGAGGGCTGAGGCTCAGGAAGATTAATAATTTAACTAAGCTTATATAGCCAGTACATGTAGGGCCAGAACTTTAACCAGGACAAAACAGAAGCCGTGAGCCACGCTTGAAAATCCTACACTGTCTATACTGTCAGAGTTAGAGATCACTTCACTGATGTCTGAAGTACAAGGTCTGGTTAATTGGTAGTGACATGGGATTAGCCCAGAGACCTGTGTACACACCATGCTGCCTTCCCTTTTGTCTGGCCCTGTGAAGGTAGATCCTGGTTGGCAGTAGCTCATCAGAGCAGAGAATGACTTAGTGGAGACTGTTCAGTTCGTGCCTGTCTCTAGCATCAGTCCCTGCTACCCGCATAGGTCCTGTTCCCTTGCCAGGAGAAAAGAAAGTCCAGGAGCTCAAATTGTGAAAAGAGTGGGTCTCTCATGGCCCATCAATCCCTTTTACCCCCTCACTACCTAGCTGGAAGGAGCTAGAGGTGTGGGAGGCCGTGGCTCTGTGTTCTTCACTTCTTGGGATTCTCCACTTGGCCAAGCCTCCAAATTAAATGCTTTTTCAAATGATGGGATCACACCCAGAGCCAGTCAGGCCACCTTAGGCCACCACAGCAGTGTTTTTTCATATGTGGTTGTTTTCTTTTCAGCCTCCCTTCTTCCCGCCTCTTGCTCTCTCAGGGCTGCTCTGCTTCTGGTTCTTTATCCCACTCCAGTGTTTCCTCTTTGACCCTTCTTTCTCCCACAAAATGTGTAAGTTACCACATGAGAGGAGAACCTGTTAAATCAATACATGTGCTTCACAAATAAATGATGAGATTAGCCAAACAAAGTTGGTCTTTTGTCTCTGTTGGAAGATTGCTTCCCTTCTCTGCCTGCTTGTCTCAGTTATCTGGAAGTCTAGGTTTGCTGGCCTCAGAGTTGGCCCTGTCAGTACAACCTTCTTTCCATCCTAGAGCTGGGAACAGAAATTGGATTGCTTCCACTCACAGGTGGAAAGTCCAGTGGTGCAGGGACAGGTGAGGACTTACTACTGTTTCCTGTTTTATCAGAGCATGAAGGGACGCCCGCCCCCAACACCCCTTTTTGGAGATGATGATGATGACGATGACATTGACTGGCTGGGATGAAGACCCAGGAAACTGGTGCAAAGGTTTCTCTGCAACCCTTCCCTAAGCATGATTTTGCACAGCCAACCCTGGGTCTAGGTGAGCCACAGGGTGAGGTCAAGGTGAGCATTCTGGGAACAATAGTTCAGGCTCAGAAGGTGACTTAGCCACCTTCTGAGCCCCGTCCCTGCCTGGCCTGGTGAAGAGGATCATAACCCTGTCTTCAAAAACACTGGGTTTTCAGCAGCAAGTTGGAAGAAGGACTGGTAGGTTCCCCTCCAGCCAGTCAGTCACCTGCAAGAGTCCTGTCCTCTGCCAAACTTTTTAACCTCTTCATTAACTCTCAGACTGACCTGGGAGCCCTCCTCAACCTGAATCCAGTGCTCAACTCTGCCCCAGCAACAAGACAAGTTACTTGGGCTGAGGTCTCCCTGGTAGAACCAAGGGAGATTACACCATCTAAATCCCAGTGCAGTTAACAGTCTGGCCTGTAGTCCTGGGACATGTATTTTTTCTCTGCCTTAAATCTGATACAAGAGGTCAAAGACTATTTGAAAATAAAACTGAAATAAATGTCTATAATGAAACTTGGCTCAAGCCCTCGGAGGGAAATTGAGTTTGGTTCCAAGGGCTGTCTACTCCTTTATGAGAATCGAAGGGTAGGAGTCATAACAGATCTGGGTCAGTTAACAGGCACAGAACATTGTGACATATTATTCCCTTTGGTACCTAACCCTGGAACTTTTCAGCCTTCAAAGAAAGTCACCACTCTGTAGTCCTAGCCCATCCCTGGGGCATGATGGTTCTCTGAGGACCAGTCCAGTCATCCTGTTGCTCCCACAGGCTTAGTCCTGCTATCTAGGAAGCCATGCAAAGAAGGTGGGAGGGTCCCTTCTTTCCATTGTTCATGGCACCTGAGGGATTCTTTACCATGAGAGCAGCTTCTGTTCCCTTAGAACTCATGGGACCAGGTCTAATGCAGAGAACAGTAGTGAGAAAATATTTGTGGTCATTTTCTTGATTCCAGGATCTTCCAAAGATCATGCAACCAGTCTTCAAAAAAAAAAAAAAAACAGAGTAATTTAAATAAAAATATTCCTTGATTTAAAATGTTTATGAGCTAGGAATCAAATTCCATTTCATCTGGCCTGGCATCATCCTTGCAGGCTTTGGGTATGTCTCCCATGTGTGGGTCTGGGAGGCAGTGAGAACTAATTATTATTTGTTGCTTAACAAAAGGCAGTGCTACGTGGCACTTTACACAGACTGGCTTATTTCCAGCAACCATTGCAGAAGACAGTGCTATCCCCATTTTATAGAGGAGAAAACTGAGACTTAGAGAAGTAAAGTAACTTGTCCAAAGTTACATAGCTAGGAAGCCTAAGAATTCAAATCCTGGCCATCTGATTCCAGAGCCTGTGCTCTTGGCCAGCACAGCAGCGTTCCCTGCCTGACCATCACTGTTTTGGGGAAGGGCATCATGTTGGCCAGGCTGGTCTCAAACTCCTGGCCTCAAGTCATCCTCCTGTCTTGGCCTCCCAAAGTGCCAGGATTACAGGCATGAACCACCACACCTGGCTTTAAAGCATAGATTCTTTAAAAAAAAAAATTAAGTCCTCTATACTATAAAAACCACAAGTGTCTACTAACCGCATTTAAAGAGATTGTCAAACTGAAGAGGTTGCCAATCATCCATGGAAATGCCAATCTCCACAGTACCACAGGGGAGGGAGCATTAGCTGGTCGGGACTTAAGAGATGGACTGTTGATGCTCCATCAGTGAGAACACATCTGCTGTACAAAATCTTCAACCTACTGAGACTCCGGGCAGCTTCCCAATTCCCTGCAAACATGGGGGATGCCCTGATGAATCCTAAGGGTGTGACATACTCTACTCTCTAGGGCAGTTATTTCTTATTGTAAATTAACTAGTGGCTATTATATTTTCTTCTGCTCACAGGGAGAGAAGATACTAAACAATTGTGGTAACACAGGTGTTTATAGTCTATGTGACAGCTACTTTTTTACAGCAGGTATCCAATTAATGCTTGTTATATGAATGAAGAATGACTAGCCTAAGTTGGCATTCTGGGGTGTCAACCTGGGTGCAGCATTTCAGGGCTGGGTTTCCCTGAGCAGAGTTGTCTTTGTAGCAGATGGATGGACCCTGTCCTCAGACAGCCTTATAAAGAGCACTACCAGCTCCACTCAGCTTAGCCCCACTCGGTTCCTGCAGTTGTTATAAAAGGGTTCATGTGCTTTCTGATGGAATGAGGAGAACAGAAAAACAGTCATAGACTATTTAAAAATATATATTTACTAAAATGTATTTGTTTTTAATTCCCAAAGCTTACAAACATCTTTTCATCTAGTCTGTGAGGTATAGTATACAGCAGTGATTTCTCTCTTTTTTATAAAGCGAAGAGGTTCAACTATCCAGAGAGTCCCATCTAACTTGAAAACTGTAATGGCTTTGGTTGGATTGCATCTTCAGTCAGTACCCTGCCATGGCTTAATCAGTATTTTAAGTGAATGAATCATGTTTCCCACCAGATCATTACGAGTAAGCAGTAAGTATAAATAGAGAACATTAAGTATTGAACATTATTAAATGCAGTTTTTTGTTCTGCATAGAAGAAAGATGAGGATAAAGGAGGGCATTAAGGCCATGAAGAATTCTCCAGACAGCCAAGGCCATCAGATGATTCTTCCTGCAGGCAGTGCCTTCTGGTAGAAGGAGCTCAGTCTATCAGAGAATTAACCAGGAGCCTGAAAGCAGTCCTGTGTTTCTGCCTTTAATCAGCTGTCACTTACTCTCCCCGCAAGAAAGGGAAATAGGTCTCAGCAGTTGCTGCCATCCATCATGAATAAAATGAAATCATTTCATTAAAATTTTTTTATATGAATGTGCAAAATTGCCAACTAGGAGTTTAATGGAAAAAATAAAAAATCTTAGTTTGTCATCATGACCCACAGGAGATGATCTTCATGTATTCCAAAGGCAGAAAGGTGAGAAAAGAGGTCAGGGAGTCCAATGGATGACGCTCCAGTAGATAAGGCACAAAGCAGGAGAGCTGAGGGTGTCCAGGTTCCATGCCCTATATCACCAAGAACCCTTCTCCCTGCCTTGAAATCTTTGGAAATTCCTGGTTTGAGTCAGAAATGCATTGTCCTGGGCTCAGCCACCCTGCCACCCCTGGTCTCGCCATTCTCCCTTTGGTCACAGCAGCCGTCTTAAGACACAAGACCAGGCCTGGGCCCTATGCAGACTGGCTGAGAAGAAGGTTGTTGCAATGGCGTCCGAACTCCAGGGAGCAAGTGCTGGCTTCAGCTCAATATTTCCAGGGTCTGCGAACAAGGGGGAGGAACAGCCATCAGAAGAAGGGGCCACTGGAAGTACAATGTCTGGAAGAGGGAGAGCCCCATGTCCCTCCAGCCTCCGTGCCTACATATTCCTCACCAGCTAAGCCATGCTGAGAAGTGGGTAAGCTAGGTAGTAGCCCACAGCAGAGCCCAGAACCACACCAAGGAAAATCCAGGTATTGTAGGACATTACGGCCAGCATGATGAAGTAGCCGATGACCACCTGGATGACATGGATTAGAGACTGGCCAAAGTGATACAAATACCACCTAGATAAAAAGGAGAATCAAGTTAATGCTGGTAATGAGCTAGAAGCTGGGAGTTGATATCAGGGAGTAGAAAGCTGTTGAGTTACATGACCAGATTATTTATAACTTGTATGCTTAACCTAGGAGAGAAATTTCTTCCTGCCCCCAACCCCCACCACCAGAAAGAACTCAAGAGATTTCTTTTTAAAGAGACATATCTTCACTACATTTGGTTCTGAACTTCCTGGCATCCTAGGCAAAGGGGAAAATGATGGGATATATAATCTATCTTTCTGACAAGGAACAAGAGATAATCATCAATAAGGCATATTTTCCCCCTGAATTTATTTTGGGAGGCAATAGGACAATGGAAAGAAAAAGCATGGACAATTGGGCACGGTGGCTCACACCTGTAATCCCAGCACTTTGGGAGGAGGCCAAGGTGGGCAGATCACGAGGTCAGGAAGTCAAGACCATCCTGGCCAACATGGTAAAACCCTGTCTCTACTAAAAGTACAAAAAAAAAATTAGTTGAGCCTGGTGGTGCGTGCCTGTAATCCCAGCTACTTGGGAGGCTGAGGCAGGAGAATCGCTTGAACCTGGGAGGCAAAGGTTGCAGTGAGCTGAGATTGCACCACTGCACTCTAGCCTGGTGACAGAGCTAGACTCTGTCTCAAAAGAAAAAAGGAAGAAAAAGCATGGACTTAGGTGACATATCAGTTCCTACCTCCGCCACATACTGAAAGTGGCCTAGACAAATGTCTTAACTTCTCTGAACTTAAGATTCCTTATCAGTAAAGCAGGAATAAGAATACCTCCCTTGCAGTGCAGTTGTGAAGATCTGAGGTGCTCATGTAGTGTGGCTAGTGATGGAGCAGGCAGGCTTATTAAGCACAGGCGAGGCTGCGGCTGGACAGAGGCAGAACAGGGACCCTACATGGTTGCCTGATTCGAGTGGAAAGGGAGGAGAGGTGAGCTTGTCTTCCTCTTCCCACCAAGTGGAATATATTGCTTCAGGACAGCTGCAGATCCCCTCCCGGATATGGAAGCCTAGCCACCCATGGAACTGGTGAGATCTGGAGGCAGGTGGGTGGCCACTCCTGTTGCTAGATAGGGGCCCTCATCTGAAGATCACAGTTCCCTAAAGAAAGCCTCTGAGAGGCTGTTCACAGAGAGTGCTTTCACCTGGGCATCAGGAGACACGAGCTCTAGTTCACTTGACTATGTGTAGCCCCTTTGGCGAGTCGTGGTCCTTCCCTGGGCCTTGCTGTCCTCTCTCTCAAGTGGGGCTAATGCTGACTGGGACAGCCTATCTCTCAGGGCCAATGTGAGGCCTCTAACCCTTTCCCATACCCACTGCCCATACCTGTGGTGGGTTCTGCTGACAGGGGATGAATCTGAGCCTGCAGACTCCCCATCTGTCTCTGCGATAGCCTGCTGGCTGATGGAGGTGGGCAGATTCACCAGCACCTGGTGGAGCAGCTTGGCTTTGCCAACCTTGATGCCTTCATATAGTACAGCCAGAAGCAGGACAACCAACACCGAAAGGGCCATGCCTGTCAAAGGAGGCAGAGTTGTGGAGACTTGGCCGGGCCGGCACTGTTTCCCTTTCAGCACCTCCACCCGGTCCATGGAATCCACTCCATCCATCTTTCTCTTGCATCTTCTTCCCCACCCTTGCTGAGCTCCAAACTTCTTTACTATCTTCATCTTCACCAGACCTTTCTTAGTAGGATTGGCCTACTGGAGTGTGGCTCTGAGGTCAGGAAGAGAAGCTGCCTGAAAAAGCCAGGGGCTGAGGGGGAAGAAGCCTTGTGCCATCACCCCAGCCACTCCCCCTTCAGGCTGCACAAATCTGTCGTGACTTCTTGTTAAGGGCTGAGTACTGCAAGGTCCTATTTATATGTAAGTATGCAAAAAAAGTCTGGAAGGAAAGATAAATAGAAGAGTAATAGTTATCTCAGCAAAGTAGGATACAGGTGGTTTGTATGTCCTTGCCTAACCTTCTAAGGTTTTTTTTATACATATTACCTTTATAATAGGGAAAAACCCAGTAAGTTATTTTACAGAAAATATCAAGTGCTTATTAGAGCTGCTATGTAAAATTAACTGCCAATTGCTACTTCTGTTTCACTAAGAGGGATAAGTGGCCCAGCTAAAGTATTTTATTGGACTCTGTGACATAATAAGAAATATATATCCTGTTTCTGCCCTGGTTTCCAGGCACACAACTTCTAGAACCCTTGGAAACTCTGAAGTGTTGTCTTTTTATATGCTAATGAGATGACTGATGGCTGGGGCTCCTGGATGGGGCTGGTTGCCAGGGGAGCCAACCTCGTGCTTGGACGTTGGCACTTTCAGCCCCACTCCCTACCTCTGGGAGGAGAGAGGGACTGAAGGTTGAATTGATCACCAGTGGCCAATGATGTAAAAAATCATGCCTCTGTATGATGAAGACTCCATAAAAACCCAAAAGGATGCAGTTAGATAGAAGGAATAAGTTCTTGCATTCAATAATACAGTAGGGAAATTATAATTAACTCTAATTTATTATATATTTCAAAGCAGAATTATAATATTCCCAACACGAAGATAAATGTTTGAGGTGATAGATACCCCAGTTACCCTGATTTGATCATTATACATTATCTATGGGTATCGAAATATCACATATACCCCCAAAACATGTACAAATATTATATATGAATAATTTCTTTAAAAGGACAGGATTTGAAAAGCTTCTAGTTGCTGAACACGTGAGGGTACCTGGAAGGTGGCAAGCCCAGAGAGGGCCTGGAGGCTCTGAACTCCTTCCTACATGCCTTGCCCCATGTGTCTTTTCCACCCAGCTATTCATTGCACTTTTTTATTTTTTTGAGATGGAGTCTTGCTCTGTTGCCCAGGCTGGAGTGCAGAAGCATGATCTCTGCTCACCGCAACCCCTGTCTCCTGGGTTCACGCAATTCTCTTGCCTCAGCCTCCCAAGTAGCTGGGATTACAGGCGCCCACCATCACACCTGCCTAGTTTTTTTTTGTAATTTTAGTAGAGACAGGGTTTCACCATGTTGGTCAGGCTGGTCTTGAACTCCTAACCTCAGGTGATCCACTTGCCTCGGCCTCCCAAAGTGCTGGGATTACAGGTGTGAGCCACTGCACCTGGCCCATTTGTACTCTTTAACAAATGGGTAAACACAAGTAAAGTGTTTCCCTGAGTTTTATGAACCGTACTAGCAAATAACTGACCCCAACGAAGGTGTTATAGGAACTCCGATGTATAGCTGGTTGCCCAGAAGTATGGGAGAAAACCTGGGACTTGCGATAGGTGCCTGAAATAGGTGGCAGTCTTGTGGGACTGTGCCTTTAAGCTGTGGGATCTGCACTCACTCTGGTCAGTGTCAGATTTGAATTGAGTTGTAGGACACCTAGCTGGTATTAGAAAATTGGTCACTGGGGAAAGCCTACACATCTGGTCACAGAAGTGTGTTGAATGTAAGAGAAGGAAAAACAGTAATTAGCTGGGCATTGTCCACGCCTGTAATCCCAGCTACTTGGGAGACTGAAGCAAGAGGATCGCTTGAACCAGGGAGGTGGAGATTGCAGTGAGCCGAGATCGCGCCACTGCACTCCAGCCTGGGTGACAGAGACTCCATCTCAAAAAAAAAAGAAAAAGAAAAATCAGTTTTCTTCCCACCTCAGTCTCCCTGCACCCCAATTCTCTTCCCCAGAGCAACCTCTGTTACTCAATGTATATATCAGCCTCTGTCTGTCAAAATGACAGCATCCTATCTACACAGACTTCTGCATTTGACTTTATCATCCAGTTGTACCTCAGTTCACACAAATTTACCTTTTCCCCAGTGGTTTCATCATATCTATGATAGATTATGTTTTCCAAAGACAGCCACTCCAATATACCCCATCCCACATGTGAGGAACTCTCCAAAATTCCCTACTTCCAGCTGCTCTCTGACTATACTGCATGAGAGACCTTCAGTGAGGACCACTCAGCTGGCTCCAGTCAACTCACAGAACCTTGAGAGAGAATGATAAAATGACTTGTTTCAAGTCACCGTTTATCAGCAATAGATAACAAGAAAGAGTACCCATTGTAAGGATGACCATAATTTATTTAATCTGCACCTGCAATAATGAGCATTTGGGCTATTTCCAGTCTGTTTCTAAAATGCAGTTATTTAAGTTGAAAAATAACTTCTTTATGAATTAGTGCCAAACTGCCTTTTCAAGTCAAAGGAATATTTGTCCCTTTCAAACGTGTTTCATCTCCAGCATCTGCTGTGGGCTTCTGAAGTAGTGCAGAAAAATGAATGCAGGATACGAGAGGTGCCAGGTGCACCAGGAGACCTTGATCTAACTGTGGCTCTGATGCTTACTTACTGTGTGACCCTGCATGAGTCTCTTCCTGTCTCTGGGCTTTAGTTTCTTCCCCTGTAACAGAGAGAAAAGCTGCTTCCCTGCCTCTCTCAGCCTTTGTGAGGATCAGTAGGATAATGGAGCCCTTTGTGAACTGAAGGGGAGTCGTTGCAAATGGAATTATAAAAGCAAAGTTCCTGCTCAGTGTTTATGCCAGAGGAGTCAGCCTCACTTATTTAAGTGAGGCATTTGCCCATTGAGAATCAAGAGAACTCAGATTCTCCATTGCCTAGTGCTACAGGGCTTTCCAGGCTACTAGTTTGAGCTCCCCAATTCTTACCAGCAGGACTGTGGACACTCCAGAAATCAAACAGAAGCACCGCTGTATCTGAGAAGATGAAATGCATCTGAAAAAGATGGGAATCTGCATCATAGGCGTTCGGGACAGGGGAATTTACGGTCTCTAATGCTCTCCAGCAGTCTCCTCTGGGAGCACAGAAAAATGGAGTCACTGGAAGTGCTGGGGGGCATCAGAAGTCATCAGGACCAAGTGAGGCCATAAGGAGCTGAGACTTGCCCAGGAGGGTCAGCAGCAGAGCTGTAATTGAGCTGGAACTGCTCCATATGAAATCAGAGGTGTGGGCCAGGCACAGTGGCTCATGCCTATAATCACAGCACTTTGGGAGGCCGAGGTGGGTGGATTGTCTGAGGTCAGGAGTTCGAGACCAGCCTGGGCAACATGGTGAAACCCCATCTCTACTAAAATACAAAAATTAGCCGGGCGTGGCGGTGTGCACCTATAATCCCAGCTGCTGGGAGGCTGAGACAGGAGAATCGCTTGAACCTGGGAGGCAGAGGTTGCCATGAGCCAAGATCGCACCACTGCACTCTAGCCTGGGTAACTATCTTTAAAAAAAAAAAGAAAGAAAAGAAAAGAAAATAGAGGTGTGGGAGTGCCCATCCTCACTGGGCACTGGCTTGGGATGTGACATTGTCCTTAGACTATGTGAGAATGTCCCCTCCATGCGTTCCAAGAACAGCTGCCTCTTCTTACTTCCCGGGGCCCTAGCCATTCTGCTCTGGCTCCCATGTGATGGAGCCAGATAGATCCCATGATGTTTATCGGGGTGGGGCCTAGAGGCAGCTGTCTTCAGACTGTACTCCACATCTGTCCTCTCATTCACTAAACATTTGCCCCATTCTCCGTTCATGTGCCCAGCATTATGGCGGTATGTTAATGTCTCTGACCTTGGTGAGTTCACAGCCTTATAGGGAAGACTGCAGGTAAAGCAGTGGCCATGCAGTACCCGTCAGATGCCTTTTCAAAGGGTGCTTGCTCCACCCTGTGTTCAGGATGGCATCATGGCCTTTTTCTACATTATCTCATTTCAATGTCACAACAGTCCTCTGTGTGACAGGGACAATTAGGTCCATTTTACAGGAAGGAAAACTATGGAAACTAGCCTTAGAGAAGTAATTTGCTGGTGGTCAAAAAGCTAGTCAGTTGGCAGAGCTGGGATTCAAACCTGAGTCTAGCTGGATTCCAAAGCCCTGGACATTCCAGGACACTGCTTCCTCCCAGTCTCCAAGAGGGGAGGGTATGATGGGAGCCGGATGGTGAGGTTAAGCGCTCACACCAGGCTTAATGACTGTTTGGAAAAACGAGGGCCCAACAGATCTATCAGTCAGTTCACCCTCTCAGGGAATGGAATGCCCCCTCTGGTCCCCAGGTAAAAGCCCTCCTTAGCCAGCACAAGCAGTTCTGCAAACACTGTCAGTGCTTACCCAGCTAAGGAGAGCCTGGCTGAGTTGTAATCAGCTAGCGGAAGCCTTTGCCTTCTAAGACAATAGCTAAATATTAGGATCCTTGAATGTCAGCACTAGAGGTATCCTCAGAGTTTTTAGTCCCATGGCTTTCAACTTTTTTCACCAGGAAACACTAGCCAATTTAAATCTTTCTTGTAATTCTATTACATAAAACACGGGGCACTGGGTGAAGATGGGAGAGAAATCTGAGCTCTGCTGAAACTCAGTTTGAAAAATGCTGATCTGGCCCAACTTCAGTCACTTTCCACCCCCTCTCATTTCCAGATGAGGAAAATGAGTACAAAGAAGGAAAGTGAGTTGGCTGAATTCCTTAGAAGTGTGGTTACTGGCTGGGGAAGGTGGCTCATGCCTGTAATCCCAGCACTTTGGGAGGCTGAGGTTAGCAGATTATATGAGGACAGGAGTTGAAGACCAGCATAGCCAACATGGTGAAACCCTGCTTCTACTAAAAATACAAAACTTAGCTGGGCGTGGTAATCCCAGCTACTCATAATCCTAGCTACTCAGGAGGCTGAGGCAGGAGAATCACTTGAACCTGGGAGGCAGAGGTTGCAGTGAGCAGAGATTGTACCACTGCCCTCCAGCCGTAGTGACAGAGAGAGACTCCGTCTCAGAAAAAAAAAAAAAAAAAAATCATGGTTACTCTCAGTCTGTGTTCAAGGGAGGAAGATAAGGAGACCGTGGGTTCTCATGAAGGCTGTGGAGGCTATTGGTTCTTAGAGAAAAGGAGTTCAGGCGGAGGCAAATGTCAGTGGTGGGGGGTGGAAGGATGGGCAGATTTGATTAGCTGCCATTTTGTCAGAAAGCTGTGCCATGTGGGTGTCCCCTGGCCTCCCAGAAACCAGAGCCACAAACTTCTGCTTGCAGCTGACAGCCCTAAACCACAGGCCTTGCATGTTCTCACTGCCTCCAGTACTCCCCTACTCAATATTTAAGACCAAAGGAGATGGTAAAGAATAGTAGACTGAGTCGAGGATTTGGAACAAAACAGAACCAGGGCCTCTCTCTGGCCTCAGTTTCCTCCAAGGGGAGCTGGGAGAAAACCCTGCAAAGGCATTCATACACAGTGACACACAGAAAGGGCTCAATAACCCCAGTGCCTTTCCCCCATACATGTTAAAGCTGGAGGGGTGTTTCTCCCAAGTGTTCCATGGGAGAAGCACAGGATGCTAGGAGGTACTGGGAAAAATGGATGCTATGGTCAAGGGAGTTTGGTAGAGACTGGAATTTGTCAAAATAAGATTCAACAGCTTTCTGCACTGCCAGAAGCCTGTACCTGGAACTCTCTCCTCCCCTTTTTTTCTTGCTGAGTGCCCCGTGGGAGAGAATCTCCTAGACTCTCCTCTAGGAAGTGCTAATCTAGAGTAACCCTCTTTTTTCATACTTGGGAGGGAAATGACACCTACTGATTATTCTGTGCCAGGCACTCTTCTAAAAATATTACATGTCTTAACTTACTTAATTTCAAGGGGGGATTATTCTTAGCTCCATTTCATAGATGAGACTACAAGGCAGAGAGAATTTAAGCAACTTGCCAAGTTGCTAGCTAGAATTTTGCCTGGGTGGGCTGGCTTCAGATTCTGTGCTCCTAACTGCTCTCAATGCAGCCTCTCAGGGCAGCACAGGAAGTCCAAGGGCAGTTATGACATGCCCAGGGCCACACTGTCAGTTGGTGGTAGCATCACAACTGGATCCTGGGTCTTCTTACCAGGCCCCTCATTTGGCAAGAGGAAAACAGATGCTACAACACAAAGAAGAGCCCACTATCTTGTGTAATACTAGACAGAGATGAGGGCTGTGCTGTCTTTCGGTTCTTTTAACATTTCAGGAAGATATGCAAACAGCAGAAGAAACGATATAGCCCCTTTGGGGCAAAATATAGGAAGAAATTGGGGAGCGGAAGGCATGTATGAGAAAAAGCAACTATGCAATTGGGATAGTCATGCTTAGCCCCTCCAAGGATGTTTGGCCAGTAGCTGGCCCATATTTCCTGAGAAGGACAAAGAGTGCACATGAAGTAAAGGAAACAAACAAGGACTGGTCTGGGGATGGGAGAGTAAGGCTAGAGCCCAGGAACGACAGCGGGATAACAGGATGAAAAGGCAAAGAGGAAGGGGTGGGAGGGGAGGGAGGACACTGGAGCGGATCACAGGTGTGGATGACGATGCTGTTATTGTCGAATCCGCAGAGGCAGAGTCAGCCCCAGGTGAGTCACTGGGAAACCACAGGCCAGTCATGAGCTCCACACTGGCAAGTGGCTTAGTGTGGAGGGACAGCAGCAGCTGCTTGGACTCCAGGGCCTTATTAAAAGTGCAGATTCCTGGGCCTCCTAAGGCCCCCAAATTAGAATCCAGGGACAGAGCCACAGGAGGCAGGGAAGACATAGATTTTAACCAGCACCCTTCAGGAGATTCTGGGGTTCAGTGCACTTTGTTACAGCTTGAACAGAGTCAGCAAGGCTAGTGGGTAGGGACACAGTTTATAAAGCTGCACTGCCTGGATCTGCCTCCCAGCTCTGCCAGGAACCAGCTGTGTTGCCTAAAGCTGCTGATACACAGAAAGCCCCCATGGACCTTGGTCTCCTCATCTGTAAAATGAGGATAGGCCTCTAGCAACCGTTTCTCTTGGTTTGGCCTCACTTTCTCAGCCTCCTGTTAACTTGGGGGCACACAAGCTGCCAACCTGAGCTCTATCTACTTTTTTCCTGAAACCTTGTAAAAGAAAAAAGTGGGAGCCTGGGCCACATGGCAAAACCCTGTCTCTACAAAAAATGCAAAAATTAGCCAGGTATGCTGGCACATGTCTGTAGTTCCAGCTACTTGGGAGGCACCGAGGTGGGAGGATCACTTGGGTCCAGGAGGTGGAGGCTGCAGTGAACTGAGATCATGCTGCTGCGATTCAGCCTGGGTAATAGAAAGACTATCTCAAAAACAAACAAACGGTGAGTGTGCCTGTGTTTCCAGGTTTGATAGGGCACTCCATCTATGCATCTCCTCTCAGACTTGGACATTGCAACTTTGGGTTTGGTAGAGGCCTGGGAATAACCTGGCTGTTCTACTCCCTGCACTCAGCCAACATGCCTTTCAGTGCCAAAAGGGGTCTGACTTGTGTCACCAACCCCTGCTTGCGCCTACCAGGGACTGAGCTCACTGGGGACCGTAGACAGAGAAAGAAATGTGAAAGCATCTTATTGGAAAGAACAGCCACGCAGCTCCATGTCTCCTGGGGCCTGCATGTGCCTGCACTATGTTCACCTTCCATTTATTATGCATCACTCCCATGACGTCTTTGCAAGTGTCTGCTATTACTAACCCCTTTCAATTAACATGGAAGACACAGAAAGGCCCACTTACCTCCCCACGGTCACTCAGCAATCAGGTACCCAGAGCCAGAGATCTTTCTGGAAAGCCTGTGCTGGTTCTCAAACCTCTTAATGTACAAATACTCTGGGTGTTTTGGGGATAGGTGTTTCTGGGGGTCACACCTTGAGAAATCATCGGAACCGTGATAGTCTCCTGTCAACCAGTGGGGACTGGTCAAGTAAATTATGTGACAGCCTCAAAATGGAAATCTAGGCAGTCACATCACAACATGGTAAAAATCATGTTGAAGAGTTTAAAAATAAGAATAGCTTCACAGCCCTCCACCCCTCCCCCCTGCAATGGCACTAGCTCAGTGTGAAAAGCTGACACAGTACCGAAAAGAAAATAAAAAGTCATTTTGAGTCCTACTATTCAAAGATCTCTCCTGGTTTTTGTTTTGTTTTGTTTTGTTTTTTTTTATTGAGACAGAGTTTTGCTCTTGTTGCCCAGGCTGGAATGCAATGGTGTGATCTCAGCTCACCGCAACCTCCACCTCCCGGGTTCAAGTGATTCTCCTGCCTCAGCCTCCTGAGTAGCCATAGGCATGAGCCACCATGCCCAGCTAATTTTTGTATTTTTAGTAGAGACAGGATTTCACCATGTTGCTCAGGTTGGTCTTGAGCTCCTGACCTCGTGATATGCCCGCCTCGGCCTCCCAAAGTGCCAGGATTACAGGCATGAGCCACCGGGCCTGGCTGGATCTCTCCTGTTAGGCTTTCAAAAAGAACATTTGTTGACAGCAAAATGTTCACACAAGATTGATATACGAAACCAAACAGGTAAGAACAATACTGTAAAACTCCATTTACGCTGGAGATGCCCTCATTCATCCTCAGCAGAAGCCTCCAACACCATCTCTGCCAGGTGGAGGTAGGGGTGGTGCCCATCATCCCTTCTGTGAGTCCATTTGGTATAGCAGATGGTATGAGTGGAATGTCTCTAGTAGCTAATTAATCAGTCAGGGAATTTCCATAACTGGTTTCCTTCTATAATCCTTGGGCCTGTGCCACTTATCTTAGGAGCCCAAAACAGCCCAGACATGTTTTACCATAGACCTGAACACCCACTGAAGAGTAAGAATAATTAGAAAGGCTTACGTTTGTTGTGCTAAGTCTGTGCAGACTCTGGAGATACAGAGATGAATGGGACAAGTCTTTGGCCCTTAGGGGGCTACCTATCTATAAGGGGAGACAGAGAAGTGAGCAGATCATTACAACAGGGTGTAGGTCAGAGAAAGGGAGGCACAGTGGAGGCCCCCTGGGTATGCTGGGGACCAAGCCACCTGAGAGACATCTGCCCTGGCAATATGTAAGAACAATACTGTAAAACTCCTTCTCTGAAGCCAGAGAAAGAGGAGGCAGCTGGGAAGATGAACTGTATGGTGTGTTCAGAGCTGGAAGTACCCACAGAGTCTGAAGGCCCAGAAGAACCAAGACTCACCTGTCACTCAACTCTCTACTCTTGCCTTCTTGCTAGAGGAAAAGATTGAAATCAGCACACCCTGACTTGAGAGAAGCCACCCCAATAAGGTTTTCGATTAAAGGACTTTGTGGTCAGATATGCACGGAGCAGGGCGCCAATCTTGTTTTCCTACTTGGGGTGAATCTTGGCCTCTGACAGTTTAGCTGATTAGTGCTTTTTTTCAGGGTGGGGCTGTGGTGAAGGAGAGAGCAATCCCTGCAACTTGTTTTCTTCTTTATTTTTTTTCCATCTGGGGTTACTTAACACTTTGAGAAAAGCTTCCTTATTTGTAAACAAGGATTCAGAAGGAGATGAAGGTCCCAGTGCTAGGCTAACTGGCTGGGGGAATTTTGCAAGTGCTCCCCATCTAGTTCTCTTTTTAGAGGGTGGCTGATTATTGGACTAAACAGCCTGTATAGACTTCCTGTTTCTTTTTTCTTTTTCCTTTTTTTTTGAGATGGAGTCTCATTCTGTCACCTAAGCTGGAGTGCTGTGGTGTGATCTCCGCTCACTGCAACCTCCACCTCCTGAGTTCAAGCGGTTCTCCTCCCAAGTAGATGAGCCTACAGGCGCACGCTACCACAACAAGCTAATGTTTTGTGTTTTTAGTAGAGATGGGGGTTTCACCGTATTGGTCAGGCTGGTCTCGAACTCCTGACCTCAGGTGATCCTCCAGCCTTGGCTTCCTTAAGTGCTGGGATTACAGGCGTGAGCCACTGCCCCGGCATCTTTTTTGTTTTTTGTTTTGTTTGTTTGAGACAGCATCTTGCTCTGTTGCCCAGGCCCAAGTGCGTGGCTTACTGCAGCCTGGAGCTTCTGGGCTCAAGCAATCCTCCTCATCCTCCCGCCTCAGTCTCCCGAGTAGCTAGGATTACAGGCACCTGCCACCACTTGTGGCTAATTTTTGTAGAGACAGGGTCTAGCAACATTGCCCAGGCTGGGCTTCCTGGACCTTAAATTCTACGACATTCTTCATGGGATGAAGAAAATGATACTTTTTCAAAAACGAAAGTCTTACAAGCTGTTATTCTCTCCAGCCCGGGTGAACCCTACCAAGAAAAACAGCTTGTCCGAAACGCTATTTTCTGACTTAAAGTGTAGGGAAGCCGGAAAGTAGCTGGATCTGTTTTATTCCCTAAAGAATCAGGCTGCAAACTTGACAAGGGCAGGGCTAGGGCGTGGGCCGGGGGTGTGCGCGCGGTGTGCGCGCGGGGCTCTGGGCTGAGCTGCGCTGGCGCTTTCCCCTTGATGGAAGCCTTATCCGGCTGTCTTCAGCCACCGCGCCCCCATTCTCAAGCCGCGCCACCGCGGGCGATCGGTAACTGCTCGCCTAGCCGGACTGGCCCAGCAGGAGGGACAAATAAGGAGGAAAACCCCCAAGGCCCAGCAAGCTGTACCTGCCGCATTCCCCCAACCCTGTTCCGACTGTTGGCAATGCTGCCAACACACCCCTCACCAGCCCCGGGCCAGCGGCCGCGAGGATTCGGGGTGCCCAGGTGGCAGCTCCAGAAGACCCCGTCCCAGCTGCCCACCCGCGTCCCCTCCTCTCCGCAGCGCCCGGCACTTACCGCCATGGTGAGTGCGCGGGGCCGGAGCCAGGACCGCGTCCGCTTCGAATCAGTTCAGCTGGGTCTGAACCCCGAGCCAGGACCGGGTCTCTCGCTCCGAATCAGTTCAGCTGCCTCAGCTGCTGCAGCTGCAGCCGCCGCCGCGATCGCGACCTGGGCCGTGCGGATCACATGGTCCGGGAGAGGCGGCGCGCGGGCGCCTGGGAGTTGTGGTCCCCACGCGCGCCCCACCCCGGCGGCCTCGGGCGCGCCCGTGGCCGGGACCCACGTGCCGCGCCCCAGGTTCCCGAGGGCTGAGGCTTGGCGTTCCCGGATTTGCAAGCGAGCAGGGCCACCTGCTGCCTTCTGTCTTCGCCCTGGCTGAGATTATGAGAATGCTTATTGTTCACGGTAATAAACGACCCCAAGGGTAACATATGTTGAGTTGAAAATGGAAAAGTCAGTGCTATGGACACAATAGTAACAAAGTCGGAGTAAATTAAGTCAATTATGCCCCAGATTTTTAATGTAGTCATTATAAGATAATTATATTTTTCTTTTTCAAAGAATTTTTTTTCCAATCTGATAAGCCAAAAGGAATACACACATGTAATTTTGTTTTTCTTTGATTACTAGTGTGATAAACTATGTTTTTTACTGCTACTTCCATTTCTGTGTATTGCCTGTTCATTTCACCGATCCAGTTTTTTGTTGGGGAGTTTCCTGTAGCGTGAGGGATTTTAACGATTATTGATTCTTAAGCATATTTAGGAACTCTTTGCCAATCAGACTATGAGAAAAGAGGCTCCTCAGAGAAACCTTACTAAGGACAGTATTAGCAGAAACCCTAAGCCTGAAGCTGACTTCAGTTCACATCCATAGCCATCAACTGTTGGCTTTGGGACCATAGGCAAATACTCTGAACCTCAGTTTTCTAGTCAGTAAAATGAAAATAATAATAAAACCTATGTCATAGGGGTATTGTAAGGATTAAATGAAAACATACATGTTAAATTCTCAGCATGTAACCTGGCAGTGGGAATTGGCTCAGTAAATGGTAGATTCCTCAAGGTCACACAGCTTTTAAGATCCTCAGTCTGAAAGCTAATGGGGGTTGGGAGTAGTCAGACACTTCAGGGAGAGAGCAGCTTCAGGGAGAGAACATGGTCCAAGGCACTGTGAGGGCGTTGCGGAGGCAGAGTTGCTGCCATCGCGGTTTGCTGGGCCATGGGGAAGCACTGGGGAGAAGGGCTAAGGGTATCTCTGAAGCAACTGGGTTCCAACAGCTGGGAGGGCTTTGGGTGTAGCTTTTCACCTCTCTGGGCCTTACATGGGAAGCAAGAATAAGATGAACTGGCCTTCACATTAAGTGGGCTCTGCTGCACCCCACTCCCCCCACCTGCACTGAAGAATCTGCAGCGCAGCTTTATTCATTTGACTGTTTTTGTTGGCTTTGTCACAATCTGATAAACTTTACACTTACTTCTAACTTCCTCATGGATGTTTTGGTTACGACACTTAGCCCAGAAGTCCTAAAATGCCCAATTTCTTTCTGTGCCACCCGAGACACCCCTCCCCTGTCCCCCAAGCAGAGAGCTTATTGCAAACCATGCAATCTTAGATCATAAGATCACAACACAGCCGCCCAAGCCTGGGTCCAGGGCAAGATATTCTTTCCGGATTCTGTGTTTTGACAGCCCAGGCTGTCCTGCTCATCCTGGGTGGCTGAGAACTCGGAGGGTACTCATGTTGCATGATTCCTTGTTTCCAGGGAGCCAGGACTAGGCTGGTGCTCCTTTTCCCTGCTGGGGAACTTCCCACTGCATCCAAGTTCCAGCAGAGAATCCTGAGGAAGGCAGGGAACATCCAACTGCCTCTGTACCTGAGAGTCTGGACTACCCATCCATCCTCCTCTGATGGTTCTGAAGCCTGTTGGAGCATGGGAGGACATGGACCAGCCAGCCCACCTGGGTAGGAAGTAGGGGTCTATTAGTTTCTTATGGTTGCTATGACCAATGATTGTAAGTGTAGTGGCTTAAAACAACACATATTTATTCTCTTTCAATTCTGAGATCAGAGGGATGAAGTCAGTTTCACTAGGGTGAAATCAAGGTATCAGCAGGGCTGCACTCCCTCCAGACACTCTATGAGAGAGCTTATTTCCTGTCCTTGTCCTTTCCGGCTTCTAGAGATGCATTCCTTGGCTGAGGTGGGAGGGGCTTCCTCCATCTTCAAAGCCAGCAGCAGTGCATGCAGCAGCTTCAAATTTCACATTGTCTTCTCTCTTCTGTATCCAGTCTCCTTCCACCTCCTTGTTTTTTTTTTTTTGTTTTTTTGTTTGAGACAGAGTCTTACGCTATAGCGCAGACTGCAGTCTCAGTGGCACCATCTCCACTCACTGCAACCTCTGCCTCCCAGTTCAAGCAATTCTCCTGCCTCAACCTCCCAAATAGCTGGGATTACAGGCACCCACCACCACATTTGGCTAAATTTTGTAATTTTAGTGGAGATGTGGTTTCACCATATTATCCAGACTGATCTCGAACTCCTGGCCTTGTGATCCACCCACCTCGGCCTCCCAAAGTGCTGGGATTACAGGTGTGAGCCAACACACCTGGCCACCTCCCTCTTTTAAGAATTCTTATGATTACATCTAGGACCCACCAGATAATCCAGGGTTGTCTCCCCACTTTAAGATCCTTAATTTAATCACATGTGCAAAGTCTCTTTTGCCAGATAACATTCACAGGTTCTGGGCATCAGAACCTGGATAATTTTTAGGGTTATTATTCAGCCCATTGTAGGGGGTATCCACATTTATAACTTTCCTGCCTCTCTGAAAGGGCATTGAGCCAAACCAAAGCAAACACCAGGCCTCTGGACAGCAGAGAAAGAAAACAATGGTTTGTTTTAGTTTCACAGGGAAGGTGAGTGTGGTATGGGTCCCTTCTTTGCTGAAGCCAGAGCTGAGGAGGGAAACACTGCTGAGAATTCACGGGTATAGTTTCTTTGCCTCAGTTGTCTTGACAGGCTCCTTTCACAGCTGTTGCTAGGGTGACTACTCCAGTTGCCCGGGACTCCCAGCTCCTGCATATCTACCTCCTCCAGGAAGACTGAGGGGCCTCAGTGTCCCCAACAACGCTGCAGTGAGCTTGGAAGGCCAATGCTCAGACTGCTCCACATTTGCAGGGTAAACAGGTTTGAAAAACAGCTGTCCGTGTCCCATCCAGCTGATGATGGCAGATTTACAAATACTTTTTAAGCAAGCTTGAGGCAAAATACACATAACAGGCAGGACACCTTGGCTCACGCCTCTAATCCTAGCACTTTGGGAGGCTGGGGCAGATCACATGAGGTTAGGAGTTCAAGACCAGCCTGGATAACATAGTGAAACCCCGTCTCTACTAAAAATACAGAAATTAACTGGGTGTGGTGATGGGTGCTGGTAATCCCAGCTACTTGGGAGGCTGAGGCAGGAGAATTGCTTGAACCTGGGAGGCAGAGCCTGCAGTGAGACGAGATCGCACCACTGCACTCCAGCCTGAGCAACAGAGAGAGACTCCATCTCAAAAAACAAACAAACAAAAAAACCACACACACCATAAAATTTGCTATATTTTTTTCTTTTTTGAGATGGAGTCTCGCTTTGTCGCCAGGCTGGAGTGCAGTGGCACCATCTTAGCTCACTGCAATCTCTGCCTCCCAGGTTCAAGCGATTCTCCTGCCTCAGCCTCCCAAAGTAGCTGGGACTACAGGCGCATGCCACCACTTGCAGCTAATTTTTTTGTATTTTTAGTAGAGACAGGTTTCACTGTGTTGGCAGGGATAGTCTTGATCTCCTAACCTCATGACTCACCCTCCTCGGACTCCCAAAGTGCTGGGATTACAGGCGTGAGCTACCATGCCTGGCCAAATTTGCTGTCTTAACCATTTTTAAGTGTGCAGTTCAGTAATGTTAATTATATTCATTAATTATACGTTGTGTAACCCATATCCAAGATGCTTTTCATCTTGTAAACCTGAAACTCTATACACATTAAACAGCTCCCTAGTCCCTTCTCCCCTGCCCCCTGACGACCACCATTCTACTTTCTATCTCTATGATTTTGATGTCTCTCAATACTCCTTAAGGGGAATCACATAGTATTTGTCCTTCTGTGACTGACTTATTTCATTCAACATAATGTCCTTAAAGTTCATCCATACTGTGGTGTGTATCAGAATTTTCTTCCTTTGTAAGGCTGAATAACCTTTCATTGTAAGTATGCATCATATTTTGTTTATACATTCACCCATAGATGGACATTTGGGTTGCTTTCACCATTTGGCTATTGTAAATAATGCTGCAGTGAACAAGGATCTATAAACACAATGTTTTAAAAAGTGAGTGCTTGGCTGGGCGCGGTGGCTCAAGCCTGTAATCCCAGCACTTTGGGAGGCCGAGGCGGGTGGATCACGAGGTCAACAGATCGAGACCATCCTGGTCAACATGGTGAAACCCCGTTTCTACTAAATATTACAAAAAATTAGCTGGGCACGGTGGCGCGTGCCTGTAATCCCAGCTACTCAGGAGGCTGAGGCAGGAGAATTGCCTGAACCCAGGGGGCGGAGGTTGTGGTGAGCCGAGATTGCGCCATTGCACTCCAGCCTGGGTAACAAGAGCGAAACTCCGTCTCAAAAAAAAAAAAAAAAAAAAAGTGAGTGCTTATCCAGAAGCTTGGCCCCATACTTCTTTTCAGTCTCACGAAAAGAAGATAGGAATGGACCCCCTCTCTTTGTCCCTGTGTAGGCGCCTTGCTGCATCCAGAGTTCTAAACGTATCCCCCAAAATCTCTACCTGATCCAGACTGTATGCCATTTCCTAATCTTAGGGAAAGATTTGGCAAAGCAGGTTTCGGCTTGTGTATGGTAAATTTCCTCTACAGCAGGTTTTCCTCTTCTTGGAGAAATAAATGGATTTTCATCCCTAAAACAGGTCTAACAGGGGCATCTTGTTGATATCCACTTGTTGATCTACTATGTATATTTTGGCTCTCGATGTATCATAAATCAAACGATCATTTGGTGCTGGAGGAAGGACCCAACTGGAAAAACATTCTTACTTATACTTGAAGTAGGATAAAGTATTCATTTGACCAAATGAAATGGCTGACATTTGACCATTTTTAACCTGAAAAGAAAAAAAAAATGGCAAGTTAAC